TCTCTAAGTTGTACTACGAACACCGTGCAACAAAAATTGCTTTACTGAGTATACTTGCTAAATTTGAGTTTATGCTTAAGGTCTTTCCCAGTCTTGCCTGAAAGTCCTAACTCAAGGTCCTTCACTCAAGACTTCATTAGCTGTTAGCATTTGAATCAATCTTCTGTACCACCTTAAAACAACACAGAAGAGACATCTTGAAGCAATTACAAATATACGCCTAAGTCCACAGGATCAGCTCACTCTCCAGAACAAGCATGGAAAATATTAGAGTGACTTAGCTAAACGTTTTGTATTATAAAATAATATCCTTGCCCACAAGTCTTCATTTACTTGATTTCTCTACACAGTAAAATGACTAGCTCTTCATTTCACTTCAGATCTGCATAGGTAATGGGTGGTTTTCCTGAAACGAGAAGAGCCGGAGAGTCTGCACACCTGAGAGAGTATAGAAATAAATATGAGGAAGCTAAAATCCTCATTAACTCCAAGACAGACTTCTTCAGTGAGTTTTAACTAAATAAGACCACTTCACATACACTACCAAAGAAATTAGTCTCTTGTTCTGCAGGTAACTTTATTATTTCTATAAAACTGATGCTGTTCTGTTATTTGGGAAACCTATTGTAATGGAAACCTTACAGCCATCACCACTAAAATCTCCTTAGAGAAAGGAGAAGCAGGGAAGAGGATTTGCTCTGTGAAGTAACATGGACTGCTAGTGTTTTACCTGGAAGAAAAATTAGTAATTATTACTAGCAAACCTACAGATAATTGTCTGCTGCATTATAATGACTGAAATTCTCCAAACGTTAAGGAAAGAAAATTGACCAAACTTCTAACACTAAAATTTTTATGTTAGAGACATAGAGTTGGAGTGTGTCCAGAGATACACAAAAACGATCCAAGGGAGGGAACAGCTCCATAGGCTGGACAAGCTGAGAAAGCTGAGGCTGTTCAGCATGAATAACAGAAGGCTCTGCGGAGACCTGAGAGCAGCTCTTGAATGAACAAGTTTAATACAGATACCTCAGGACTGCCACTGAAGGGTTTCTAGAGCCCAGGCAACGCACATAAGGGAACATTCTTTTAAGGAAATAGCATCTCAAAAGTATGAAGGCAGCTCTTGTACCTGATCTATAAACACACAATGCCTGGAGCATTATTACACTCCGCACAATTTTTTTTTAATTGAACCCAACAGCAGAAACACTAGTACAGATCTTTCTGGTAGACTAAGGAGGCATCCTGCAACCATTTTGCTATTACCTTAGGAATAACTCCTAAATAAAGCCATTAAAACAATCCAGTTGGCAAGCAGTAAATGGATACAGAAGAGTTCAAGAAATCTATATTCTTTCTCATATTTTGTTTACTCGTGCTCTTCACCAGCATTTTATAACACTTTTTAAAAGGTCCCTAGAAGCCTTGTAAACAGAGCTCACCAGATTTTATCTATTCCATATTACTCAGGTCTTCTTTCACAGAAGCGAAGCCTGAAAATTGAGGTACTTACAGCTAGCTTTACACAGAGCTCCCTGCAGAGTGACTTCTACCATCACCCTAGAGCCCGTATAGAAGAGAACTCTAATTAAGAGCCTAACAATGCAGTCAGACATTTAACCTGAGATATCCTCTTCAAAAAAATACCATCTCCCTAAGAGCCTGATTTGGAAACCTGCTCAGAGAAATATGCTTTAAATCCACCCTTAAAAAACACACCTAACTTCTTCTGCCAGTGGGAAAGAGTTCACTAAGAAAGATTGTTGTTAATCATTTTCTTCCATTAAACACTGCCGGCATGACTAATCTTACTCGTTTGCTCACAAATTTCATACTCATTATAGAACTTGCGGATTTTTATTCTTCAGTGCAACTAGGGAACGGATTATTCTGCTTGAGATCAGTGTAATTACATATAACTTGGCAGAGAACTTTGGCATCCTTTTCTTTCTTGTTAATTCAGTCTTTAGCCTGAAGTTGGACAACCACTATTTGGCAATAGAATATCAGCACAACCCAATTTTTCACAGGTCTGGTAGAGCTCTTGTAGCTGGGCAAACATACGAGATTGCTGTGTCTGTGAACCCAAACAGTTTAATTCCTGAAAGCTATAGTGCCAGCTCTTTCTTTGGCTTGCCCACTACTCTTGTGCACAAGCCTACTCTACATGCCATCTGTTTGTGAAAATGAAATTTTGCAGAACAACTCACCAACTCTGCGTGTTCATGCATGATATTGGTTCCAATTTTGATTAAAGAAATGATAGCAGGCTTCAAGATTTCCAAAAAAGGTCCTCATTTTTTTTTTTTTTTTTTGCATATTCATGACTCCTTTTTCAGTTGACACAAATGTGACTATTCCTCTTCACTTAGTACGGCCCAAGCAAGCCGAAAGGTTGGTTATCCATGATGTAGTAGTTGAGGTAAGTAGAACATTTTAAGTACATTTTACAGAAGTAATTGCTACAAAATTTGCCTTTTATAAATTTACATAACACTAGAATAAATTAAGGAAGTGTCTCAGTTTATTCCATGGCAGTACAGACCCATCTTTGGATGTTACAAAAAGAAGGAAGCAAGACTTCAGTTCATCATCGTGATATATTTTTCGACAATGTGTTTTGCCTGGGTTTTTTGTAGCTGAAGCCACTATTATATTGACAGCCTGAGTAAAATATCTAAAACGTACCTGTTAGACTGATCTTCAGATAACTGTTTTAAAAGCTTAAAACTCACTTTTACCATTTTACAGTAGTCAAAACTACTATCTGCAGTCTAGGAAGCGTTTCAGTAATGCTTAAGATTACTGGAAATTAGAATATGAAAGTTATAAATAAGATCTACTAATCATTTTAAAGAATACATGAAGATGAGAATTGTTGCAGCGCAGGATAGAATTCTCATCAAAAAGTTGTATTTAATGAACTCAGGTTTGAAATACTGAAATTATATGAGATACCCTACTTTCACATTATTTCATGGCATCACACATAATCACCTCCCTTGACTTGATGAATCCTACGGAATTACTGTCAAGCTATATTTGGCTTAGAGATCTGTTTACGTGAAGCTCATTTGTAGTTTTGCTTCTAAGTGAAAAGATAAATCCATCTGCTGTCTTTCACGTCACCTTTTCATAAAAGCCTGCAAGATAAAGCCTGTAGTAATTTTTTTTAAGATCTTCCTTCAGCTGTTCCATTTTCAACTATCAAATGAAGGCTCTTCAGTACAGCACACTGAAGCTCCTCTCCACTGAGTTTATGAAGCATCATTAATTCTTAGCTTTAATATCTACACATGCAAGATGGTCACATATTCTAATCTCATCAGGCGTCTACTTCAAACATAGGTTGTGGTGCAGTAAATGTCATGAGCAGGTTCTTACCTTACTGAGTTAATTATTTCATTCCAAATAAACTATTACTTAGAGCTAAAAGATTTTACTTTCTTACCACTCAGCATTTTGAGACTATTTTCTGTCTAGGGACTTTGTTTCCTAAGTTGGAATACTTTCTCAATTCCAAACTAGCCAAGCTATTAAATAAAGGTTAAACACATTCATCTTGTTTTAGTACAGCCACCTATGGGAAAGTGGAAAGGAGAGACACCTAAACCCATCCTTATCTAATTGATGTAAATCAGTAATTCATGACTTCTTAAATACAGCTTCAGATTAAGAACTAGAATAAACCTGAAATGGTCAGCTGATTAGAGGGCAAGATGTTTGCTTAGCACAGCAGCAGGCATGCCGAGTCTGAGAAGCGAGAAAAGCAGCCACCTGATTCTGCTAACTCTACCTGGTTACTCAAACAAGAGTCCCATTGGAATTTATGGATCACAAAATGACACTTCTTTGCTCCTGGGTTTACCATATTTCTTATGCCAACACTCTAGTGCCACCTGTGCAAACTATGCTAAGTAGAAATTCCACATTCGCCATTCAAAGAGATGATACTAACACAGATATAGCATCAGAATTTTTTGCGAAGTTTGGTTTTACATCACAAATGCAAATATCTGGCAATAGTCTGCAGCTTACAGGGCAAGAGTTTAAAGTGTGTTTGCTCTGTGTGGTTTCTTTACAGGGAAGTAGAGAAGGTTTGGGCACATCGCCTTGAACTCTTAGAAATCCTAAAGTGTCTCTACGTACCAAAGTACTACAGAAAAGAATGGTGTAGTCAAAAATGTATATTTTGCATGATAAAGTGAAAGATGGTACCAGTGAAGCATAAGTCATCACCTCTTGACATTTAATTTAACAAAACATTGAGAACAAGAGTGTTGATAATGCTGGAAGCTGATACATCAAAACAAGAGAAAAACTGAAAATTTAAGACGACAAAGATACAGTCAACTAGAGAAGAGATCACAGTGATTCCCATTCAAAACAATATTATGTCCAGCCACCAGGGCACTGCATATTAGAAGGAATGTATCAACAAGGCAACTGCACTCATCCACAGCTTTGTGACCCTAGCTACACATTCTGTGAGGAGGTGCAAGCAGCCCCTTCAGCATCCAGTTAGCTCTTCCACCCAAAAAGGCCTTGAACAAGCAGTATTTCAAGCTGGTTTGGGATAGAGTGGCTGGCCTACTTCCTTGACTTTTGTAGGTAGTTTGTTAAGACATAATACTCTTGCAGTAAAAAGACTAGCGCTCTCTGACAGCAGCAGTGCAGATAGACCTCCAGCGACGTATAAAACTTGGAAATACCAGTGACCTTACAAACATTTTAAAAATGAATTGATTTCCTCAGTGAATTTACTTCAGTATGGTTAAAAAGTACACACGATACTATGCCATTTACTCATGGACTGCTTTTTGTTGTTTTTATTGTTTTTGTTGATGTTGTTTTAAGGCTTGTAAGGCAGATGTACAAAGCACAACAGGAAAAACTACTCACCTTGCAATACTGAAAACCATCTTATAAAATGCATAAGTAACTAGAACTCAGATAATGAAGGAAACATAACTTTGCCAGCAACTCACCTCAGGGAGATTTGTTAATATGACACAGGAGCAATTCACAATTCATTCTTTCATTCTTTCAGAGTTTGACTCACATTGAATATTACCAGCCTATTTCTTTTCCTATTTAACGCTCATAAAATTTCCACTGTGAGTAGTTTCACCTGAAGGGAAGGAATACACATTAGTTCTTTTTTATCTTCCTAATTCAACGAGTAGCAGCTATTAAACATAGAGAATAGGGTGCAAGGGCAGTCTTCTGTTATGATCCTAAAATACTACAGAAACAAGGAGTGGAATAGAAGATACAGCATATGTGCCAAACACTTCAAAATGCAGACAGTCAACCGCTGATATGGGAGATGCTAATCCACCATTTTTGTGTACTTACTGGTAAGCAGACTTCCAGATAAGTAAGACAGTTTAAAATCTAGGTTTTGAGCTTTGCTGTTCTCAAGAACTTGCAGCTCTAACTTATTTCAGCTTTCCCTGCCATCACAAAGTTTCATCTGAGATATCTGTAATTTGTAAGAATGGATCAGTCATTGCAAAAGTTAATATCCCTAGCCCGGTACCTCAGCTTAGGAAGTAACATTTACCTCAAGCTCATGTTTTAGAACTAAAAAAACTGAAAATAATTTCTCCCAGTTCTCATCTCCCCATCTTTCACAGAACACAACTTAGTAGTGAAAACGATCAATTATTAGAAAGGATCATCAAAGACACAGATTATAACATTCAGAAAGTTCGTCAAGAATGCAACATCATAACTTAAATACATGCTGAACAAAAACATCCATCCAAATCCTATACTCTTTGTATTTTTGCATGATGACAGCCCTCTAGGTGAATACTTTGACTGAAAACACATCTTCTAGAACTGTGCCATAACACACATTTGTGCAAGAGCTGCAAGAAAACCGACAGCCATTTGCTGGCCTCCAGGACACTGGAAGTTGTATTTGCTGTTCCAGTGTCTTTTCTAACTAACAGGAAAAAAAAAAAAAAAAAAAAAAAAAGGGAAAACAAAAAACAACAGGACCTCTGATGCTTTCTACGCAGTATATCCACTGCATTTATTTGCCTTTTTTTTTTTTTTCTCCTCAATATGTTGGTCCTTTCACATGACGCTCTCGTTTGATCCTTCCCTTGTCTGTATGCCATGATTCATAGAAAATCACATTTACTTGTGTTCATTCCTTGGTTTGCCAAGTGACAAGTTTATTGGCCACGTTAATGATGTCACAGATTTTCTTCATACATCAGTCATCTCGAGTGGCATTTAGAAAGGGCATTTTCTGCCTACAATCAATAGCTTCTGTAGCTGCTGTAATATTTGTTCTTACTTAGGGATATTACTCAGAATATAAAAGCAATTGATTGTAGGCAGAAATTACAGATGGAAAGGGGAAGAATCTGAAGTGCCCTCCAGCTTAAGTAGTTCCAGCTGGTGATACACCACTACTAATCACATACATGTTTGAAAGTCACCAGAGCCTTCTCAAGCAAATGCCTGATTTTCCTCACAAGCTGAAACCCAAAGTATGATTTATTCCAGTGAAAACATGAATCCAAATTTCTAATGCTGAGTTTCTCAGAGATCTACTTTCACAGTGGCTGAACAAGAATATCCTGTCAATGAATTAAAGTGGTAAAAATGCAAGTTAATAATGCTTCTTATTATGCAAACTGGAACAGATTTAAAGTATGGTTCTTTGTTCTTTGGAATGAAGTTTAAGTAGGTGATAACCTGCATATTTGATTTTAACAGGTTGTGATTAACAAAGAGTGGCATTACTAATTACAACAAAATGTCAGCATATCTTTGGTTTGGTGCACGGCCAGAACACTTTCCAGTTCTGAAGTCTGGCCTGATAGCCACAGCCTGGAAAGTGGAACAGGCACATACATACTTGCCTCATTTCATACATTATGTTAGACAATTACATGCAGAAAATTGCTCCAAACAACCCTATTTCAGACTACTTTGTCTTCTTATCTCCAAACTCGCAACCACAGAAGCATTCATTTCTGTACTCCATTGCAGATGGCTGCAAGGAGTTATCCCTGATTTCAGTAGTACCTCTGTTCACAAACTATTCATTCTCATGTTCCCTCAATGCGTAGCGTATACCATATGAAAACAGTAAAGCCAGAAGAAGAAGAAAATTCAAAGGCAGCTTTCAACAAGCTTAACATAAGCAACAACAAAATGGCCAGATCCCAGGAGCTGCCAGTTTGAACAACAGCATTCACAAATTGTGATAGCTCACTTGTTTTTACAAATATCAGAGAATTCTTGTACAGGCTGCTTTAAGGCTCAATTTTAACACGTACCTCAGCGAGATAAAGGTATGAGTTCCAGCGACAGTGGATTGGAGCACATAATTCCATCTTTCTGAAAGAATAAAAACGAGCTGCAGTTAGCACAAAATCAGTATTGCTTGTTGTTTTCCATGCAGCTTTTAGAGATTAAGGAATTCTTCTGAACAGATGCAGTCATTAGACCCAACCATAGATGGAATTCTACATTCATGATTCAGAAACAATACTTTCAACACATTTCTTCCATAAATGAAATTCAGATGCCAGTGCAGAAGCTATATAAAATGTGAACCTTTTGCCACTTACTTATACCAAATAAATCTTTTCATTATAAAGAAGCTCTTGCATTCATAGGTATTTATAAGATATTACTCTGTAAGATATTATTCGGTCAACGTCTGTGTCTCAAAGTTTGCTGGGAACACCGATGGACTGGTTCAAGTCCAGACAAGTCCCGAGCAAGGACCGTGAAAACCTTTGTCTTAAGGAGACAGATGGACAAGTCCAGGCAAGCCCTAGGCAAAGGTTGTGAAATCCTTTGTCTGGGGGAACGCAGATGGACAAGGCCAGGGGCGACGAGAGCGAGATGAACTGCAGCTAAATAGCTGTGAAGTGCTCCTTTGTGTGGACCTATCTCAGGATGATGGGCCATCTTAGGGGGTACTCAATGACTCTTGCTCGAGGCCCATCCTTGTCACGTAGACAGGAGAACAAGGAGGATAAAAGAGGAAATGAAAACCACGAGAAGGTGGGGGGCAAACTCTCCTGAGCCTGCTGCCTGACCGCTGTTCCTGCTTCAAGAATTGGCTCCTCGACTTCCTCGTCTACCTGCCTGCTGCCCAAGGCCGGCCACGCTGCTGCTCCCCGTCTTCTGCTGCGTTCTGCCCGGGACCTTCAAACGCTGTGCAACGGGACCGCTGCTGGATCCTGCTGGTGACTATCCCCGCTTTACTCAACTCCTGCTTCTTTTCCACCTTTTCTATCGCCCTCCTTCCTTTCCCCGTCTCCCTGATTAGGTTTAGTAATAAACTGGATGCAACAACATATGAACCGTTGTTTCTTAATCTCACACCGGGTATACAGATATTAAAGAACCTCATCTCCCTTCTATAAATTGGAGCAAGACAGTATTTCAACAGAATGTGTATGTTAAAGCACCTGTGTAGAATAATAAATATCATAATATCATAAATTAGATTTTTTTTGCATTTACAAATTCTAGTACTTGAGGATTTAAAATTTATCAATTTAATTATTATTATTTAATAATAAAATATATAAATAATTAATTAAATTGATAAATTTGAGTACTCTTTGCTATATTTTGGGACCCATAATCTAATTTCAAGTCTTTCTATATGCACAGTTTCCTTATGAATTTCTATATATTATCACTCTACACATATTGAGTCCGAAAAACTGCTTTAGATTGTTTTAATATCAGCAAAAACAATGTGAAATACGGTTTTTTTTATTCAGGGTCATCAAAACAGGCAAAGCTTTCAGTCACTGCTTCAATCAGCACCTTTGCACTTGATCCAGTCTGAGACTGAACAGTCACCATCCTTTCTGCTCATCCCAGTATTAAAATATTGAATTAAATGTTTGTTGTGGGTTTTATTCCGATGTGCTTTTGTTCTTCAGACTCCCAAGCAGACCTAGAAGCATAAGCAGAAATAGCAGTAATCAGCAGTTACTTGGAAATAGGATTTATAAGTAATCCTTAAAAAAATGCTCCCTTTCAAAATTTCATCTTTACTTGAGATATTCACTTAAACTATAAATTTGCACCAAATCATCAGATTCAAAATGCAAAGATCATTCTCAGGAACTGCACTTGTGTTGCTAGTCAGGATTTCTTCTGATACACCATTTACTCAAAGGAATTTTCCATGCTGTCACTGCCCTAAAGATTCTTTTCACGGTCTCAGTAACAGTGGCATCTGCAGAGGGGAGCTCCAGCCACTTGAAACTCATTAAAACATACTTGAGATTGACAATGAGTTGAAAACATCTGTCAGACTTGGCCAAGATTTCAATCAAGTGCGATGTTGCTCTGTTACTGTGGTACATGGACTTAATAAATGACTCATCTGCTGTCAATGCAAGGAAAGTTGGGTTCTAATTACTAGCCTGGTTTTTTGGGTTTTTTTTTTTTTTTCCCTGAATCTGAAATTTATTTTCACTTAAAGGTTCACTGTGCACGTGACATACGTTAAAACTAATTTGCTGAATCTATAAAGCCAGAGTAAGATGGTACAGACTAGCTTTATAACTTGCTGTATTAGGCATCAGCTGATGTCTAACATAGTATGCATATAAAGCACTACTACAAACAGCCTAAGAATGATGAAAAAGCGGCTGATACTTTTCAGCTTCATTTTAACGTCAACAAGTCCCAAACAACTCTGAGCAAAAAGCTTCTAAGAACCTACTGTCACTTCTGAAAAATAACATCCAGACAAACCTCTTAGTTAAACAAGCTATTTTTCAAAGAAGCTAAAGAAGTGTATACCTAACTGAAGGTCTGCCACATTCAGAAATGAAAGGCCTGTTCTTCTGTTTCAAATGGAATGGGAAGGAAGTAGCATATGATTAATTCTTAGCTCCAAAAAGCCAAAGTTTTCTCTCAGATGTAAGTGAAGCAAATCCTATCTGGTGACAGATGGTCTTCTTTCTTTCTCTTCTCCTCATAACAATTTTGTCTTATTTTGTTTTCAGAATCTATTTCATCCAAAGGTGTTACAGGTACTTCTTGATCTGTCCTTCCTTGGAAAGGGTCACATGAACACGATAGTCTAGAGAAAGTAATGATTTTACACCATAGGTCCGTAGCCTAGAAAGCTGTTACAGGCATTATTTACTTGATACAAGCCACTCATATTTGATGAGTATGCCACATAGTAAACCTACAGCTGCACAAAAACCTTGTCAATTGAAGATTAAGTCCGATCATTATCATGCGTGAAGGATGTCAATAGAAATTGTTTTATGAAATCTTACCTACAATAAACAGATTTAATTCATTTTGAGTTTTTAGTTTTTGGCTGGCTGTTTTGTTGTTTTTCTTTTTAATTTTTATCATTTATTTATTTGTTTGGTTTTGTAAACGCTGTTGATGTACAAAGACATCAGGCTTATCAACCACTCTCAGAGGCTTCTTATTCAACTAAATCCAGTGAAGATTGACCTTAAACCAACACAGCAGATAAAGGCAAATGAGAAAGTCTTTAAACATCCCACCCAGGCTGCACACAGACAGGAGACCAAATTCAAGGCTGTATCTCCGGGTAGGAACAATGAAGAGTAAAGCCCATGGTTCTTGTTCTTTATAAGTCAGTCATCCCCACTGCAAACACTGACAAGTTCAGATTGCGTGTGCAACAGAACTGTAGCTCCAAATAATGTTTTCTTCATTTTTTAGGTTATTTTTTCTTTGAAAATACCACTGCCATTTTCTGAAATGATTAATATTACTTGAGGAAAAAGAAGGAATAGGAAAGAAAAATAAATAGTTAATTATCTATTACTTAAAATCATTCCTCACTTAAATAAATATCATCTAGATTAATACAATGAGAATGTTAAATTTTCCTTGTGAAATGCATACACTCACAGAAAATCAGGTTTTTTTATTTTACAGTAGGCAGCCCAATTACATGCACGGTTCTTCTGTGAGAGGCTGGAATACCATTTGCTGCTGCGTTTTCACTTTATAAAATAAAGTTCTTTGTGCAGCCAGCAGCTGTCTCTCCTAGCAACCTTTCAATTGAGAGGAGAGCATCTCTACTTCCATTAAGATACTGCAATATGAATCTATGTAATATACTGACATATACATTGCAAGGCTATTGAACATTTTAAATAGTCTTCTGAAATGCACAATAGTATTGCAATGACTTCTCTTTTTACTTAGACTTAATAAACACAAAGATGTGTTCACAAACCGACAAAGTAAGGTACTCTGCACTAAAAATTTGCACTTCTTTCCTGAACTGAACCAAAAAAAAAAAAAAAAAAAGCAGCAGCATTTTGGGCAGACATCAAGGGTCGTAATAATAACATATCCTTATCCTTGGGGCTACTCACACTTCAGATAATCTTACTCTGAGCAAACTAAGAAATTAGGGGATAACTAAGAGTATGGTGCATGCCAGTTCAGGTAAAGGAGAGAAATTTAATCTTAGAAAATGTAACTATGTTCTCTGAGGCTTTCTGGTCTCCAGGTTTTAATGATAATATCCATTGACAGCTTAGTCACTGAAGTCCTTGGTGGTGCACCAGGCACTTCAACAGACATCCAGAGAATAAGTCCGCTCCTGCCTTAATCCTGACACAATTCATACATGCAAATTTACTTAAGAGAAGGCATGAATGAAGCTCATTCATTCCTAAGTACAATCAGACTGAAACGCTTGTGATGAGCAAACAGTCAGATGTTATTGCTCCTTATGAACCTGCTATACATACATCAATTTCTATCCCTTTTTAAAAGCGGACAGACAAGATGATTAAAGAAGCAACGTACATCTCAAGATTATAGTGAGGAAACACATTGTCATTGCACAGTGTACTCTAGAATCCCTAAGAAATCTGTATTGTTTTATGATCTCTAACAACATCTCATTCACTTCTCAAAAAACGCTGCTTGAAAATATAGGTGAGGTCATAAATCCCAGCTGGTCTCCTGCTTTTCTCAAACAAAGAGAAGAAAACCGAGTCAGCTCTCTAGGAGACAGTATTAATGGCTTCTAATGTGTTTGCTCTATTCTTTATATTCTGTATGCAGCAGCCCTACTGTAAATCGCTATACCCACCAAAAAAAAAAAAAAAAAAAAGTGCTGAAAAAAAGTAATAATAGTTACTCTAACCTAGTTGTGCTTTTTGCATCGTTTTGAATAAAGCTAGCAACAATACATAATTTGACATTATTTTTATTAAATATCTACAGCAAATACATTAATCTAATGTTCACCTAGCAGCAGCGTATGTACCAAAGCATAGTTGCAGTAAAATGGAGTAATTTCAATTGCATCCATACAGGATGAAACTCTCCTACATGCATAAAGGCTTCCTAGTCTAATGAGTGTCAAGTTTTAAATAATAATACCTCTGGAACATTTGTTTCTGCTCTAGGATGAATTTTATTAAGAAAAATTTCACAGACACCGTCATTTAAAAATTACCCTTTGTATTTGCTTTAGTCTCCAAAGTAAAAGATTTTTCTTTTAGAAACCAAAGTCTTTCTGCATTTCTGCTTCAACACCTCTTACTGTGTAACTAGCATCTGTACAGGCAACAGTAAATTTAGCAACCTGTGGAATTCTTAGCAATAATAGGAATATCACAGTATCAGCTAGTTAATCACTTTCAAGGCCAACTTGAGCCCATTTCATTGGCTTTGTATTCCACTCAAGTTTGTCAGTGTCAAGGCAACTCTGCCCACAAATAACACATCTTCAACTAGAGATAGCAAGTAACAGTTTGCGCACAGTCCAAATCCTGCAAACTGGCAATCTTCTCCTGAAAACTGCAAACAATTATTTCCATTCTCATGCAACAGTACTTCTGATCCCCCATCATTTCTCAGTTATATGAACTGATCATTAATTTCCAAGACCAGGAAAAAAAAAAAAAAAAAAAAAAACAATGTTTTTGACAGGGATAAGTGATTTGCCATTTAGTCTCTGCACACAAACACACGTGCCCAAATAATATTCTTATCTGCAAAATTATTAGCATAACTCACAAATTACCACTCTAGCCTCATTGAGAAAGGCTTATCTTTTTTCATTCCCCCCCTAAAACAACATAGGCCAGGCTTCTGAGCATTTGAAGATGGCAAGCTTTCTTACACTGACTCCAGATGAAGTACAATCTCATACAGCAAATCCAGAAACTCTGGAAAAGTGAAGTAGATGATATTGAAGGTACTCTCTGGCTTGTGGGGTGTGTCAGGACTTACTGGCAGAAAGGAGAGCAGATAAGAAGTAGATAAACTGCAATACTTCTTGCAGCACACCAGCTGACCACAGCCTGCATGGACCTGCCCAGGTGGTATTAAGCATTTTCTCACACATGCTGCATTGATTTCTATTACCAAACATCTAAATAAAGGTTTAATTGAGTGTTTGCTGTTAGAATTTTTCATTATTAAAAATGGCAAGTTTCTGTTAAACTTGGATTTAGGTGAAGTTGTATTTTTCAGGAATAAGAAGCGTCCCATAGAACATTATTGCTCAAGCCTGCTTGACCAGGCCCAGAACAAAAACAAAGGAATTCTTTATCATTGAAAAGGGATCTTGCTTTTAAACAGAAATATCAACTTGCTTCAGAACGAACAGCATTTCTTCAAGGGGGAACACTTACAAAGAGCACAGGCCCATTTCCAAACATCCTTCCCATGGGACATTTACAGGTTACAGAGCAGGTCCGGACTACCAGAAAAGATAAAATTTCAGCTGGGAGCACACAGGTCAATCTAATATTTAATCAGCGGACAGATCTGTTACTCAAAATTACAGTCATGTTCTTCACATTCCTTATA